GGGGGGGGGGGGGGGGGATCATATTTTGTTACCCATGTCTATCCTGTCCGGTTGCATTCCATTCTGATTAAGTGTTGCTGTTCTAGCAAGTATACCTGAAATGAGTTTATATTTAAGAATCTCAAGGTCAAGGTCATTTAAACGGTTTGCATTCAAATTTGTCAACCAATGACACCGATTCCTGTATAAAAGACGTTTTCTGTTACATCAAAATTCATCAGTTTTGTTAGTCAGAAAATATTCACAAGTTATGTAAATCCACATTTAATGCTAAAAAACAAATTTCTGTTCAACAAAAAAATAAAAAAGATACATATGTCAGACTATCCTCCTAAAGTCAAATACATTTGAGTCCCGAGGTCACTGACTACAATAAATGGCAATTCTTTGAAATTTTGTGTCAGTGTTTTTATGAAAATATGTTAATTCTGGTTTAATTTTTGCATTGATTTTTTTCCCACAGCAGAGTCGGATGATTCTGTATAAACAATCATTCAGGAAGACGTGGAACTGCACGGCCGTGAAACATATGGACTCCTGGCTTCACTGGAGTGAAGGAGAGGACGAGGACACAGCCATTCAGCTCAAGGACAGCGTCTATGTATGTTACATAAGTACCCTAGGTCATATACTACATGTAGCTTCTATGATGTTATATACTAACCTACTGCACAGGCTTCAATGTGAACTTTGATGATCCTAAGGTTAAAGGTCGAGTCCATACATTCTACTTTAGACATTTCTGAAATTACTTGTTAAGCACTGTTCTGGTTTCTGCAGTATACCTAGGTGTCAAAACTCCACCTGTGCGTTGTGCTTTATTCTTCTCGTTTGTTTTGTCACCAAGGGTCCTTATGCATTCCATATGGCCACGCCTACCTATGCAGTGTGTACCTTTCTATGTGGGGTTGGGGACGAGAAGAGGTCCCTGGGGTCTGCCCCGTCTGACCTCCAATGTCTACAGGTGTCTCTAGGACAGTGTCAGGCCCAGGCCCAGAGACTTGCTCTTGTTGCTAAGCATCTCTGGTCACATGCAGCATTGTTGTCATGCCAACAGTATTCTCCAAGGTAAGTGCTGACTAGTAATATAAGTGTGCTGTATAATTGATCATCATTATCATTTTCCTACCTCCACCATAAATTAGTTGTATACTGCTTTGAATTTGTTCTGACTTATTTTTAGCCCGAAGGGCCAAGTAAGCTTATGCCTTGGTGCGGCGTCCCTCGTCTGTCCGGCCGTCCGGCATCTGTCCGGTGTCAATATTTTACTTTAAACAAC